CAGGACCCTCACCTGGGTGTCTTGACCATGGCACTGAATTGTGACGCCTGGATGTTACCCAAAGGGCTCTTTTTACTGATGGGAGTGGATTGAGGTCTGGCCCTGAATCGCATCCCTCCCCAGCCCGCGCCACCCGAGATGGGTCCTGAGCAGACAAGACAGAGAGGAATCACTAGGCAGGCGCTTTGGATGCTTTGGAGGCTGGTCCCCAGTCCGTATCGTCTGGGCCGGCGTCCTGCGGGGGGTCGGGGGGGGGTTACAGAGACAGACAGCGATGATCCCAGAACAGTCCATTTCCCACAAAATGTTCCGTCCTGGATGACTGCTCGGGGTCACACGAAAGAACAGGATGGAAAATGGCCGTTCTGTGGCACAGTTTCCTTTTCTTCTGTGCAAACGTTTTGGGGTGGCGTCAAGATCCAGGTACACCTGTGGGTGAGAGGGTGTTGTGTTACAGGAATGTCATGTATCACCCACAACCTGTCACTACCAGAACCACTAAGTAGAGAGAAGGGTTGGGTCTTTATGGGAGCTGTATTCAGACGGCCAGTGATCTGAGAAGATGGTGGGTTATGTGCCCTAAAAAAAATCATCTTACATCTCATCTCAAGGCGACTCTTTTTATAAGGAGGAAAAAAGTGTAGGTAAAGAGTTTGGAATTCAGGGGGGAAAGGTTAATCAGATGGTGATTCTTTATAGATAGATAGGTAGGTAGATATTATTGATTTCAGAGAGAAAGGGAGAGGGAATCATCTTACATCTCATCTCAAGGCCACCCTTTTTATAAAGAGGAAAAAAGTATAGGTAAAGAGTTTGGAATTCAGGGGGAAAAGGTTAATCAGATGGTGATTCTTGATAGATAGATAGATAGATAGATAGATATTATTTTGATTCTGTTTCTCTGTAGAAGCCTGATACAAAGAATTAAGTTCCAAGAAGAAGAGAATTTCAATAAGAAACAGGTAAGTAATAAGTGTCCATACAGCTAAATGAAAATGAAGGTCCATAGTAACCTTGGGTTTGGGTAATCTTGATATAAAAAGTTTTAACAGAG